CCTGTCCAAATTGATGAGGATGAATCATCTTTACTGAGTCCACTGCTTCAAATGCTAATCTCTTTAGAAACACCCTCACAGACACACCCAGACATGATGCTTTACCAGCAATCTGGGCATCTCTGAGCCCAATCAAGTTACATAAAATTAACCATCACAAGAAGAATGCTATTGAGAGAAAAAAAAGAGAGAGAGAGGAGAGGGAAAAAATAGGCTTGAGGAGAGAGGCTTAGATACTTATGAAATAAATTCGAATACGAATTTACACCTGGCCATGCCTTTCGAGAAGCTCTCACCTGTTTCCTCCTTTACAACTCGATTGCCAGGTAGGCATCAGTCTCAGTTTTTCTACCCGTGTGTTCATTAAAGACTTTTACACAGCAGGATATCCTCGGAAAATTCTTTTCAGGACAAATGTAAACATATTCTGAGAACTGGGTGAAATAAAATACAGTGCTAGAGTTTCCCCTGTTTACTAACTTGGGGAGTTGTTAGAAAATTGTTGTGTCTCATATTTGAGTGCCTCTCTGAAAGACCAAGTCAATAAGCCTTTGAGGCCCTTTTAGGCTCAATGATATTGATAATGAAAACAACTTGAACAAAATCATTTCTTAGGTGAAGAAGACACTGAAGTGAAACAGAAGAGAAATCAATTGATTTTTCTGAAATCCAGCAGTTTTAGACCGCCAGACACACTGGTGAATAGAGCTGCATTCTCCTCTGAGTTTCTCTTTAGGCATTTTTTTTTTCCTAGAGCTCATGCTCTTATAGTCCTCTGTGAAATGTAAGCAGAAGAAACTGCAGGAGACCAGAGAAGATAAATAAATCTGTTCTGACACCTCAAACTGTGGCCTGGGTGGCCACTGGGGCTCAACCGATCAGACCAGTTCTGAATCTATCCAACTTAAAGGGCCAAGTCAAGAAAACTGGAGAGAAATCCCCTTGTTCTTTTGCGTCCCTCTGACTCATTGTCCCCCAATCCCTGAGGAAGTCAGACAAGGATGGCCTGGCTCTCTGAAAAGATGGTCATGAGTGGCAGAGGCCTGGAATCCTCTTTAATGCCCAGAGACTCTTCCTGACCCTGGGTGAGGAGAAATAAGATGCCTGTGTACACATGACCACCACCATCTAGGCTGTCATCAAAGCTGAAGCAATCCTTAGGTCCTGCCTTTTAAATGTGCTACTTTAAAAAAAATGAACAAGGAATATATTAATGCAATAGCATAAAAATTAAAGTTATAATTGGGCATGATGGCTCAAACCTGTAATCCCAGCACTTTGGGAGTCCAAGGTGGACAGATCACCTAAGGTCAGGAGTTTGAGACCAGCCTGGCCAACATGATGAAACCTGTCCCTACTACAAACAAATACAAAAATTAGCCAGGTATGGTGGTGCATGCCTTTAATTCCAACTACTCGGGAGGCTGAGGCAGGAGAACTGCTTGAGCCGGGGAGGCAGAGGTTGCAGTAGGCCAAGATTGTGCCCCTACACTCCAGCCTGGGAGACAGCGCAAGACACCAACTCAAAAAAAAGAAAAAAAAAATTATATATATATATATATATAAAATAAAAAGTCAAAGTCAAAGTTTCCCTCATTAACCACCAACACTTCCATCCCTTTCTTCTCCTTAGAAGTAACTATTAACAGCCTGTTGTGTCTCTTTCACAGTTTTTTTAATGCATGTGCCTACATGTTCCTACACATATGTAGAGTTTAGGGATAATTTTATTTAGAGAAATAGAATCATACTGCATATACAGTTCTTTTTTTTTATTACTTTTCTTTTTAACTTTTAATTTTTCTTCATTTCTTCTTTTTTTATTTTTTATTTTTTTAATTGCATTTTAGGTTTTGGGGTACATGTGAAGAACATGCAAGATTGTTGCATAGGTACACACGTGGCAGTGTGATTTGCTGCCTTCCTCCCCATCACCTATACCTGGCATTTCTCCCCATGCTATCTCTCCCCAACTCCTCACCCCCCGCTGTCCCTCCCCTACTCCCCCCACAACAGACCCCAGTGTGTAGTGCTCCCCTCCCCGTGTCCATGTGTTCTCATTGTTCAACACCCACCTATGAGTCAGAACACTGCACATACAGTTCTATCACTTGCTCTTGGTATTCCACAATGTATCTCTCCATGTTTTCTCATATTTACATGCCAGCACATAGAGTTCCCATTCATTGTCTTTATTTTCTACAATAGTTTGGTGGATAATTACCATTTCCAGTATTTCACTATTATGAGCAGTGTTGCAGTAAACATTCCTATCACATGTATCTGTGTGCCCAGAGCTTCAATATTTCTACAGAATAAGCAGATATTTGGAAAATTGGTAAGGCAATTTTCCACACAGGGAAACTGAGTCTCAGAGAGGGGAAGGTTTTCTCAAGGTTACATAAAACGTTAATAGCAGAACCAGAATGAGAAGTCAAGGGACCCAAGTGCCAGGCCAGGCTGTCCTATGAGAGGATCCTCACTGGGACTATGAACCTGGACATGCCTAATCTACTTCAAAAAAACTGTGGGATTTAAGACCCTGTATTGAGTGGGCAGAAACAAAAGTTCATGGACAAAGAAGACTGTGACAATTAACATCACAGTAGGGTGGCCAGAAGGCACCCAGTAGAGGACAGCAGAAGGTGCACTGAGCTTAGGACTGGCATACTTCAACTCCAGTCCTGGCTCCCTACCCTCCACTTGTGTAATTTCTTATGATGGGGCCTCTGTTTCCCCCACTGTAAAATGGACCTCATTTCTACCTTACAGGCTGATTGTGAGGGCTGAAAAAGGCAATACATCTGACATTCATGGTAATAATTGGCATTTCTTGAGTTTTTACTATGTGCCAGGGACCATGCTAAGTACTTTTCCTTAATTATATCATTTGATGCTCACAACAATCTTATGAGGTAGGTCTTACTTTTGTCCCCATTTTATAGATGAAGAAACTGGATCACAGAGAGGAATTCTCTGCCCAAAGTCACCTGGGAAGTCTCCTGATAGAGGCCCAAGAGCTGGATCCAGGCAGTCTGACTCCAGAGCTCAAATTTCTGGCCATAAGAAAGGCACTCAAAGCCTGTGGACACCCTCACGTGGGCATGAAGCCCCGAAACAGAGTACAACTCTGCAGGTTCAAGGCCCCAGAGTAGGGACCAAGCCGAATAAGCACCAGCAGAAATGTACTGCGCCCTGGCAACTGCTGAGTCTCAGTGCTCTGTCTCTGATGTCTGCTGCCGAGCCCCACCACTGTGGGTCTTTACCATCGTTATTCCAACCATAACCAGCCCCACAGAGAGCTGCCAGTACCTGGGGCCAGCAGGGCCCTAATGGAAGAACACTGACTGTAATTACCTCCATCCATCAACCCAGCCCACAGAAGGGAACAGAGTCTGGTTTCAGATTTAAACAAGCTATTTCTCTGCAAGAAGTAGGGTCAGTGGCACATCTTGCCTTGCTAAGAGTTTGAACAGGCAATGCAGAACAAGGAGCATACAGGCTTTGGGGCCACAGAAGAAGGGAAGAGGAAAGGAGAGGGTAGAGGAGCGAGAGAAGCAGAGATTGACACACACAAAGTTGATGAAAGACAGATACAGAGACATAGTGAGCTTGGTAGAAGACAGAGAAAGGTGATGTGCCAGGAAAGTATTTCTCAATCAGAAGGGGATTCTCAAATTCTCAAGTAGGTAGGTAGACAGGAAAACCGGAAGAGATAGACAGACAGACAGATAGACAGAGATATGCATACGTATGATTTGTATGCTTGTACATATATGCATGTTTATGTATTTTCATTTTGATGATACTCTAAAAAATATAATCATATTCTAGATTTTTTAGCCTGCCACTCTTGAGCAGAGTACTGCCATCCAGTTTAACTGTCCAACCTCTCTACCACCCATTCAATATAAATAACAGCATTTCCTTTTCCAGGTTAGTGTAAAAGATGATGTTTATAAGGTACAGAGCACAGGTTTACTAAATAGTAACCATTTTTATTATTCTTGTTGCTAAGATAAAGAGTGGTTATCCCTGCAAGCTTGGGAAAGTGTGTTTGGAGAAGGTGACTTCTGATATGGGCTTTAAGAGGTGAAGAGAAGTTCACCAGGTCAACAAAGAAGAGAGTGGACTTTCCAAGTAGAAAAAAGTAGGTCCTTGAAATGGAAGCAGCCAGTGGCATTCAGGAATGGCTGGATGTTGGGAGGGAGAGGAGGCTGGTGGGAGATGAGGCTTTATATCATTGGCTATGGGAGCTAGAGCCCTTCCCTGGGACCCATGTTTCCAGGCCCAGAAAGTTCTCCAAGGTCTTATATTAGGAGGTAGGGGGATTCCCAAGGCAGACCAAAAGAAAGACATTAAGAGATGGCAGTACTTTTTGAAGTTTATATTACTACAGACAGGAGCTAAGTTGTACAATTTTTATTTTGCTCAGTAGATATGGAGACATCCACCCTTCCTACTCCCATACCACTCCGTCCCCCACACCCATGCACACCCATGGAACTCTGATGAAATGGTTATCTGTGCTGTGTTTACTGTATTTAGAGAAAAATAAAGGGATTTGGGTTGAGTATCAGGTACAAACAATGGTGAGGAAGACACTACTGTATTTTACCAAGATTCATGTTTTTCTCTTCTTCTTGAGGCTACTGCTAGATTACATTTGCCAGCCTCTTTTGTAATTCCATGTAACCACATGGAGTGGACACTATCTGTGCTTTGTTCAGTCTCCCTGGATTCAATTTCTGTATGCCCACCCTCCGATTTTGGAGTGCTCTGATTCCAAGGGTTTGCACCTGTGACTTTTTTTTTTTTTTTTTTTTTGAGATGATGTTTCATTCTGTCAATCAGGCTGGAGTGCAATGGCACAATCTTGGCTCACTGCAACCTCTACCACCCAGGTTCAAGCAATTCTTTCTCAGCCTCCTGAGCAGCTGGGATTACAGACATGCACCACCATACCTAGCTATTTTTTTGTATTTTTTTAGTAGAGGCAGGATTTCACCATGTTGGCTAGGCTGGTCTCAAACTCTGGACCTCAAGTGATCCACCCACCTCAGCCTCCCAAAGTGCTGGGATTATAGGCATGAGCCACTGTACCCGGCTGCACCTGCAACTTACTTCTGAGGCCTGCCCTTGGCTAATGTAGCCATGTACTTGCAGAGAGCCAGACATGTCTGGGCATCTACATCCCTCTGCCCTGAGGCAGCCCTTAACCAGAATATGAAAACCCAGATCCCTTGCCTTGAGGTGGGACCTAATTCATTTCCCAGAGCTCCCCACAGAATCAGGCCACCTCTGGGACTTTGCCTGAAATTACACCATGATTGCTCTCTTCCACTTCCCAGTTCTGCTGCTTTGCTGGTTTCTCCTGGGAGCACCTCCCATGAACCAATCCTCATCTCAAGGCCTGCTTCTGAGGAACCCTACCTAGGATACCACATGACCGAGTTCCAGCCAGTGGAATGTGAACCACCCTCTGACTTTGCCCAGAGAAACCTGCCTGTGCTCCTCCATGCTCTTTTCCTTCCTTGAGGAATTGGTTTGAAATATTCATAATCAATTTTTGCTTCCTAGACTATTCCTGAGAATGTAACACAATGGGCAACTGGTCCCTTTGGAACCCTGGGATATATTAGGATTATACTTCTAACTACTTTTAGTAGTGTCCAGGATTCTGCAGCAGTCCTGAACACTTTTCTTTACTCCATTCCCATGATTTAAGGCATAGTTAAAATATCCTAGCTCCAACACATTTCCTGAATCTGTACTGTAAAACTTAACTACAACCTTTCACCATCCTATTCTGTGCTCCATTATCTATTTCCTTGTGCCTCTAGCACTTAGTTTCATTACCTACTAATTAAGTTACCTGATAATATGTTTGATTTTCCGACTTGTTTGTAAAACCTTTGAGGATGGATATTACCCATTTATCCTCATATCATCTGTCTTATACTCAATAAATGTAAAGATCTCTGTCTTGTTCATCGCTCTGTCTCTAGCACCTTCAATATTATCTGATTTATGGTAGATCCTTGGTAAATGTTAAGTGAATGAAGTAATCAACATAATATCAGATTTGTGTTGATAATAATCATAGTCTCCAGGTAAATCAGGTCATAGCATGCATGCCTCATTGCTACTTAAATGTTCCCACTAACATTCATCTTTGCAATCAAATTTGCTGGGTGCTTACAGGTGAGACCCATCTTAGACCCAGCCAACCTGAGCTGAGAAAGACAAAGAGTAGTAAATTAAGCCAACACTGAAACACATCTCATCTACTTCCTGCTCTGCTATGAAAGCCCCAATTACAAATATCTCATACCCTTTATGTCAAATGCAACTCTAGCATCTGAATTTTGGCTCAGAAAAATACATTCCTTGACTTTTCCCCTTGACCTAAAGGGCAAAACACCAGCCCTGGAGGCATACATACCAGTTCATCTGGTTATCAGCTCATGGCTTTAGCCAAGTTATGTAATGTCTCTAAACTTCAGCTCCCTCATAATTAAAATGGGCATGACAAAATCTACCTTACAGAAGGTTTGTAAAGATTCATATTGTCTATGTAAACTCCCAAAGCAGTGCAGGTAGTAGCTCAAAGAATGCTCCTTTTCTTCTTGGATGATCACACATATACAAATAGAGGTGGAAAGAAGAAACCACATTCTGATGTTTTCCCGATGATACAAAGCAGAAAGAGCTATAGGTCCTTCCAGACCTTCAAGATCATCTAACAAAAAAACAGGGCCATGCACAAACTCACTGGCCAAAATTGTCTCCTCTGAAGCCACTCTTTCATTCTGAGACATTGTGTTGACAATGGCAGGAGGCAGGAGACTGATTCCTTTATGGTGTACACCTGACTGTCTTTTAACACAGGGATGAAATGATCGTTTGGCCCATTTATCTTCATTGGACAACTTACAATTGTGACTTAGTTTGTAGCAGAAAAGAAATACACTATTTCCACTATCTTTATTTTTTTAAGGGAATAGTGGAAGAAATTTACATAGCTAAAGAGAACCAATGATGAAGTTACATACCATTTGGCCCAGCAACCCCATTACTGGGTATATACAAAGTATAAAACATTCTACTATAAAAACACATGCACATGGATGTTTATTGCGGCACTGTTTACAATAGCAAAGACTTGTTGGAACCAACCCAAATGCCCATCAATGATAGACTGAATAAAGAAAATGTGGCACATATATGTCATGGAATACTATGCAGCCATAAAAAAGGATGAGTTCATGTCCTTTGCAGGGACGTGGATGAATCTGGAAACCATCATTCTCAGCAAACTGACAAAAGAGCATAAAACCAAACACAATGTGTTCTCACTCATAAAGAGGATGTTGAACAATGAAAACACATGGATACAGGTAGGAGAACATCACACACTCGGGCCTGTCAGGGGGTGGGGAGACTAGGGAGGGATAGCAGGGGGTGAGGGGATTGGGGGGCGATAACATTAGGAGAAATACCTAATGTAGATGACGGGGGGATGGAGGCAGCAAACCACCATGGCACGTGTATACCTATGTAACAAACCTGCAGGTTCTGCACATGTACTCCAGAACTTAAAGCATAATTTTAAAAAAAAGAACAGAGAAAGGACCAAACTAATTTTTGATAATTTCCTTCTAGTCAAGAGGTTCCTAATAACACTAAACAACTTCCAGTTTGGAAATGACCACCTCCCCAGGTGTCATCTCATTACATTGTCCAAATGCTATGCCAACAACCGCTTGAGAAACATCTAGAAACTCAGGTGATCTTATGCCTGAAAAGCATGAAGAATATAATTGTTACTCTAAAATATAGTTTGTATGTTAAAATTACACGGTACTGCAAAATGAAGCATTCTCAGAAGGATATTTAAATTTTCATGGGTTTTTTAACTCTCTCTCATAATATTTAAATACCTTGACTATGAGACTAAACCACTTGAAAAGGCAAGTTTACCTACAGCATTTGTACCCTTTCATATAGACCCTCATTTAAAGGCCTAAATTCTCTTTCAGAAACTCCTCATTTATATCAGAAGGGAACTGCATCAACAATGTAGACAGTTTTAACTCAGAATTTCTCTTGCATTAAATTATTTGGATATTTCTCAGGGAAAATGATCCAGGGACCAGAATGACCTGGATAATTACTTTCACTATTTAAGTTACTCTGCTAAATTTGGCCTAAATTACTGGCCTTGGACCGTTTTTAAAGGAAGCATTTCAGAAAATCAAAACACTCAGAATAATATTTCACATTTTTTCTACTGGATTCACAGGACTGCATGACAGAAAAGGTCAACAGCTATTTAGAGAACCAAAAAGCCTTAGACCTAGAAAAGACCTCATATTCAACATTTCCAAAAAGCCCTACAACTCACAAAAAATAGTTGCAAAAACATTTCGTCTTTTGATCCTAACAATCACTGTGTGAGACACAGATCATAAATCTCCATGTTTATGGATGAGAAAACAGATTCAAAGAAGAAAATTATTTGTTCAAGGTCACACAATAAGAAAGTGGCAAACTGTGGCTGGACTCCAAATCTGCTAATTCTACATCAAAAGCACTTTTCACTATACCATAGCTAAATCTAGACACCTCCAAGGACTGGGTTGAGAACCCATGGTCCCAAAGAGACTATCTCTGATGGTGAGTTACGATGCTATCCTAGGTTTTATCCTATCTCAACATGGGATAAGTATTAGAATCAATTCATGACAATGCCTGAGCCCCAAATCCAGACAAATTATGTCAAAATATATAAGGATTAGGACCAGAAATCTGTATTTTTTGAAGTTTTCTAAATAATTTGGATGTTCAGCCAAAGTTGAGCATCACTGTCCTGGTCTGATTCTTGGACCAATAGATCCAGGTCTGTCTTCAACCACAGCAATCAGACAGTTTATCTAGACACACATGGTTTCAAAATTATGTTTTCTGGGCCTAGTATCATTTTGCAGCCTAGTGGCACTGTGGATTTGCATTGACCCTACAGTGACCAGCCTGAGATTTTTCCCATGAGAGTAATTGCTAATTCAGTTCTCAAACTGTGTTTGTATGGGTGGACTTCTGAACTCAAGTTTTGGTGGATCATGCCTAAAGAACTACCCTGGAAGACAGGGATAAGGTTCAAGTCCAAAGGAAAAGCTAGACATGGGAGAGTTAGTTCAAGATCAGAATCCATAAGGATGGAAAACAAATGGATGACTTAGGTTCTGCAAAATGATGGAGGAAGATAATCTGACAACTGTCAAACTAACAATTCTTAGGAATCTTGGGTAATGAAATATTCTTAATTGAATAAAGCAAGTCACATATTCTGTTTGGATAAAGAAACAAACACACTACTGCGTTTGTGTAGATGCATTTGTATACATTTTCTCAGAGGGAGAACTGCAAGAAGAAATATTCAGCAGGCCGGTAACACTGGTTATCTTGGTGGGGGGCAGAGGCCTGGAGAATGCAGGGATGTAATTAGCTTTTCCTTTACACAGCCAGCATGTGTTCTGTAATTTTAATAACATAAAATAAATTGAATAAATCAATATATAAACTCACAAGCAGTCAAAAAATAAGAATTAAAAATTTGGTAATTTATAGGTTATATTTTATGGTGATATAAGTATTGGGTGGAAGTAATTTACATGTTCTATAAATCTGAAATGGAGTTTCATTCTATACATGCTTGTATTTCCTATTTCTTCTGACACAAAACTTTAAAAGCATGTCGGATGTACCCAGAGCTGTCCTGCTGAGTCCATTAAACACCTCTCTCACCACAAATAAGAGAGGTGACATAAATATTTAAACAATTGAGCTTAAAGGAAAGAAAAGATACTGTTCAGATGTCAGAACTGAAGAATGAACTACAAACTAGGTGCCAAGAGAAATGGTACCAAGCTGACTAGGAAAGAGAGTGGCTATGGCATAGTTCCTAGAAACTTTACAATCATATTTTAATGCCCATGAGTTGGATGTTCTAC